AATTTTTTCATGTTAAAAGTATTGTTATGTTTTGAAAACTCTAAGACTTTGGATAATAGTCTTGTTTGAGGTTGTACGTACCCAATTTAATACCGGGGTTAGGCATCCTACATGAAAAATCAAATATAGAGCTTGTTAAAAGTAGGAATGACAACGGATCGGATTCAGGTCGGATGGAGCTCCACCCGCATCCATCCGCTTACTCCACCCGATCCATCCGCCACCCGCAAAATCCGTCACCCACATCCGATCCATCCGTCACCCGCGGGTGAAACGGCTGGATCGGATGCTTATCGGGTGATGAAATAATTTATTTTTGTATAAATAAATAAAATTATTGATGGTTAATATTACGAGTGATGGTTATTTTTTCAACGAATACATCAAAATTATCGATGTTACCCTTATAAAAATAATAATAACATCAAATTTAATAATTTTAGAAATATATTTAAGTACTACTAAAGTATATAAGGTAAAAAAATTTTGAAAAAAAAGTTTTATATCGGATGGATGACGGATTGAGTGATGGATGGAACGGAGCCCCACCTGAAGGGCGAAACATTTTGTACAATATTGCCTTTTTCATTTATGTATTGAACCTCCGACCCGATCTGTCACCCATTTCATCCGTCATCCGCCCTTCATCCATTTAACGCGGATTTTCATCCATTTATTTATATCGAGTGGATCGGATTTATGGATATTCATTTATAATTGCCATCTCTAGTTCAAAGAGCTTTTAATGTTACTATTTATCACATTTTTCATTTATTGTTGATACTTTGTCCAAACTTTGTTCATTTCATATACTACGTATATATGTTCACCAAAAAATATACTACTTACAATATATACAGTTGCATTAGTTTCATCCTTTTAATCATTTTATGGTTAGGAAAGTGCATATTATCATTCCTATTGAGTCAAGATTTTTACGAAAGACATGACAAAAGGTCAACAATCAATCAAAGAAAAAAAGAGAAAATATGAATATCAAGGAAATCATCACACTATAGACAAAAAGGAAAAGATCAAGGAAGATCAACAAAATTAAGGGAAGAATCTTCTATGATAAAAAAAATAAAAATTGTCCTCAATTAGCCCATGAATAATCAAGTAAAAATCATGTTATACAAAGAAACAAATCACTTGATTGGCAAAATCATTAACACAATGCGCCAGAGAGTATTGACATTATGGACATTATTGAGCTTTAAGTTATTCTTACTTTGCCAATTTCCATTTTGAGTAGAATCCTTAGATGATGCTCATGATGAATACTTTGCCAATAAGCACAATTACATATCTTGATTTGAAAAACGAGTCCAAGAGATATCAATCAATTAATTCAAAGTATCTTAATTAGTGATGCTGGCAATCAACCTGTTCAACATTGTAAAAAAAATTAAAATTAAAATTAAAATTCCTTTACCATTTTCGTATATTAGATTATTTACTAAAACTTATTAAAACTTTCAATCGTCATCATCTGTCATATTTCATTTAACATAAAATAAAATTGTGAGTCCTTCAACCTGTAATAATAATAATAACTATATACTAAAAGAAAGATCAAAAGTGACTCATGTTTGGTTAAAAATTTCCCTACAAATTTTTTTTCTTTTTTTTTAAAATTTTTTTTTGTCAAATCTTTTAAAACAATATTCTATCACCTAAAATATTTTTTCCATGTTTAGTTAACTTATAAATTTCATTTTTTTTTTTAATTTCAAAGTATCTTCTATACCTTTATGTTAGGTAATTCACATTTTTCAAAAGTGATGACCTTGAGTAAGGTAATATATACTATACATAAAAATAATATGTTTTACAATATGTTATGATATTATCCTTTGCTTATTTCTTTGGTCATACTCACTTTATTTTAATTTTAATTTAAAGATAGTAAAATCATTTTGTTAACAAATATACTACCTCCCTTTCTGAAAGTTCGACTCACTTACTATTCATCTAGTCAAAATAAAATAATTTTGACCACATATTATGATTTATACAATAGAAATAAATTAGTATGAGGGGTCTTATTAGATTCTCCTTATTATAAAATTTTTAAATATCAACTTTTTATAATTTTCACTTATACATGGCCGAAAATATTCATGGTCAAAGATGTTCATTGGAGACCGCGCAAATGCAAAGTGAGTCGAACTTTCAGAAATTGAGGGAGTACTACATATATAGGATATATATTTCTGCACTTAAAATTGATATTAGCAATGATGTGTACAAAATTTGCATCACTTTATTTAATTTCCAACTTATACAAACAAAATATGTATTTAGTGCTTTTGTTATGTATAAAAAAAATCAATTATATTATTACCTGAACCATGTGCTGCTCAAAGTGTGTCAACTAAATAGTTATTATGGAGAGAGTATTGCATGAGTAACCAGATGTCTCTATTATAAGATATAGCTTAGGTATGTATAAAATTAAAGTTGTCTTATGCATTTTATAAAAATTATAGTTCTTTATTTTATTTTTTATTTTTTTTGCAAGCTGAAGTAGAACCAACTAAAGGTAGTATTAAGAGAGTATTGCATGCAATAGGTGCTAACTTTAGTGTCTTTGTTAAGTATAGGTATAAAGTTAAGTAATTTTGTATAAATTAAAACACACACACTCTCTCTGTATGTTAAGTATCAATAATATAATACTAAAACAGACACCAAGAATGATACGTGTTTTTTTGGTACTGTTTTTTCCCTTTAAATTTTTTTTTATTCACTTCTTAAAAAAATATTCACTTTCTTAATATATGTGATTCACTTACTTAATTCACCAAATCATATAATTGTGATTCACTTTCTTAAAAAAATATTCACATCAATTATTTTCATATCTTTTATTGTATAAAATATATTTTATATATGTTACTTTGTATATCATACGGAGTACATATTATTTATTTAAATATGATAGTACTTCATATGTAGTACTTAATACTTACCTTCAAATGTTCATTACAGTATATTTTGTATAGAGTATATAGTAATTTTGTAACAAAATTTTTAGAAACACAAATTCTTATTTGTGGCTAGCCATATAGTGTGACCATTTTACATATAAGACAATAAATTAAGTAATAGGGGTCATGGTGATGAGCAAATAGGGTTACTTTGACGTATGTGGGTTACTTAAATGGGAAAAGGAGGTTACTCTCATAAATAAGTGGCATCATTCTTTCATTTTTTAAAGCACAAGAACAAGGGTTACTCGAATGAACAAATGGGGTTACTTATTGTTAAATTATTTGATATGACTCATATAATGAATTTGGGTTACTTTTATGGACAAAATGAGGTTACTTTTATGAATAAACGGGGTTACTCATGCATATATATGAAGATTACTCTTATAAACCAATGTGGCCACACCGTGTGGCTAGCCACATACAAGACTTACCGTTTTAGAAAAGATGTATATTGTTGTTGTTGTTGTTTACAAAAATAGTGTTAAACTAAATTAGTCTTATGCAATGCACGATTTGACAAATAATTTCTAAATTTGTTTATTTTTTCATACTTAAAAAAAAAAAATCCCAAAACAAATAATACATCTTCAACAGGTGTCAGCAAAGATTATAATATTGTTCTGTTTGTTAAGCCCTGCTAATCTGCTATGCTTTGCTCATAAGCTCAAAAGTACAAGGTCATAGTCTAGCATCTCAACTAATCAGTCTAGATCCTAATTATACATTTGTCTTTAATTCTATTCTCTTTCCTATTAGGTTTCTCACAAAAACAAACATCATCTTATATGACAATCTCATCCACTTTTGCTCAGATCTCTTCAATCACAGCCTCTGCGGCTTCACCTCACAACCAACACCTCGTCGTTCATTCTCACTCATCCGGCAGGACAGCAACTTACCAATTGTAATCATTCAAAGTTTCAAGCCTCGTGGGTCTCGAGTCTCGACACTGGGCACATCTAATCATCTACAATATTACTGGACACATCTACAATATTTGAAATTTGTGGAATTAATAAATTCAAAAAATATGAATAATTGTAATTAGTAATTACGAATTGAATGTCAATATACAAGAAGATGAAATATTTGCCATTAAACATTATTTAAACTTAACTTTATAGAGAATTTAGAATAAGATAATGCATTTTTTTATTATTTTTTTTCCTATTAGAAGTTTAATTACTATCAATTGGCCTCTACAACAAGTAATTTCAAAAAAAGAACAAATATTTTTTGCCAAATAATTAGAATTTTAAATGTATTATAAAAAGGGTCGGATATTGAATATCAAATATCTGGATTTTCGAATACGGATATCCGATCCGTACTCACCCCTACTATTAATACATTTAGAAGTCGATGAATCATCTCGCCAAAAAAAAAGTCAATGAATCAAATTAGTCAATTGTTTTATCTTTTTACTTACGCTTGTTGTGTGAAGTATAAAATCTCTTACAGAACGTCGAGTAACTCATAAAAGGCGCATATTTTGTTTTTCTTTTTTTTATTTTTTTTTAATGGAACTTGGTTTTAGATAAGCACTTTAATGATTAATTATTACACTCTTATTATTACTTTCGCCAAACTGATGTACTTAAATGGAGAAGAAGTATAAGAAACACAATTGGCAATATTGATGAAGGAGATATGAGTAGTGCATTTGAAGATTGCAGATTTGAGTTCCCTTTTCTCTCGAATGTTTCTCACTTCTCGGATTTCTTTCTTCCCCTCACATGAAGGTTTGCAACCGATATTTCAAAGAAAAACCTTTATTACAAAATGATACTCTGAAATAACACATGAAGGTACACAAAAGTCTTTGATTTTAACATGCCTTTTTTTCCAACTTTTGACCCACCACAAAGCATTTTTCAGTTTGCACAAAACCCAATACTTCCCCATCCATTTTTCTCTCTCCTTTTCAATCCTTCAAACTTCCATCTTTCCAAATTTCTGATCAACGATCACACAGTCACACAGTTGAAGATGGAAACGTTAATGGAGGAGAGAGAAGCACAAATGATTTCACTTTCTAGAGGAAAACCCTGTTTCAGAATTGCCCATTTTCTCAAACCCTCATTTCCAATTTCACAACATCAAAATCATTTAAACCCTCCTCCAATTTCTACCCCCACTAAACCCATTACCCAAATTGCTAAATCTCTCTCTTATAAAATCAATTTCAATGGCTGGAAAAACCCAGTTAAAAATTGGAGTAATTGGGTTGATAAATTGCTCCCTAAATTTCAATCTACTTGGAAAAACACTTCAATTTATGAACCAATCATCGGTTCTAAATATGAAATACCTAGATTCAGGGATTCTGTCTTTTCAATTTGTGAAAAATGGTGTCCAGAAAGTAACACATTTGTATTCAATTGGGGTGAAGTTACTATAACTTTAGAGGATATTTTGGTTTTGGGTGGTTACTCTGTTACAGGGGACTCTGTTTTGAGTAAAATTTCTTCAAGTGAATTGCAGGAAGTTAAGCGTAATTTGGAAGTAGTATACTCTGAACTCAATAATAGTAAGTCTAAGAAGGTATCCCATTATCAGTGGATGGATATTTGGATGAAAAGGGGGAGCGAATTCGAGCATGAAGCTTTTTTAACTCTTTGGCTGTCAAGGTATGTCTTGCCTGCTCAAGCTGATGGTGTTATCAACAAGGGTGTTTTCCCAATTGCTATACTTTTAGCGCGAGGTACGAAAATTTCATTAGCTCCTGCTATTCTTGCTAGTATATATAAAGATTTGAGGTTATTGAAGGAAAAGATTGTGTGGTTGAGAGAATTGGGTGATCAGGTTGATGGTGGCAGTGTAAGCAGACTATGTCTGTCTTCGCCGTTGCAGTTGCTGCAGGTTTGGATTTGGGAAAGATTTACTACATTGAGTCCTAAACCGAATTTTGTGACTGATGGTATTAGATTACAGAAGTGGCACAAAGTTGCAAATCCAAAAAATAATGATGTTGGTTTGGCTTTTGATGCTGCTATGGAGAGTTTTCGATGGAGGCCTTACACGACGAGTTTGAGCAATGGCTCGATATGTGATAAACTCTATGTAGAAGAGGCTAGTTGGGTGTCTGTTAATTCTGATGTTTCTATTGATTTGGAGTCTTATGCTAGGATTGTAAGAAATAGTAAGTTGGTTGGGTTAAATTGTGTTGAGCAATATCTTCCTCATCGTGTTTCGATGCAGTTTGGGCTTGATCAAGACATCCCTTGTGTTTTCCCTAGGGTAAGTGACACCCGAAATCTTGCCTGGAATGATTACAATAGACCTGTTGGAGATGTCAAGATGTACATTCCATCGAGGCTCTTTAAGTCGGATGTTACAATGAGTTACTTGGAGTGGTGGAAGGATTTAGAAGATGTGAAGGACAACGTTAAATGTCTGAGAAAGAGAAAAGATGCCAAAACCAATTCAAAACCATGTCAAGAATCTTCGAAGATATCAATGTTGGTGCCTCCTGGTTTTAGTCCAAAATCCGAAGGGGTGGCAATGAGTGATTGTTTTGATCAACTTGAACCTTGTTCCAAGAGGTCTCAAGTAACTCCATGTTGTCCTGAAACTGTTATTGAGATCAGTGAATCCGAAACTTGTTCTGCTTTATTTTCTAAAGGGATGAAATCAGATGAAGAACCAGATGATGATTGCCTAACATTGACTGAATTGTTTGGAGTTGAGAGTACTCAAAAGGAAAGTAGAAGTGAAGCCTTGTCAGTAAACCGTCGAGAGAGGCCTCAATCTTCTGCCGCAGATAATGCTCTTATTCAAAAGATAACACTGGCGAAAGAAAACTCAGAGAATTCTTTGCCAAGTCTAGAGTGTACAAGGGAAGAACTAATTATTGAAGAGAAAAATGAGAGTAAGGTAGAATGTCAGTTCACAACACCAATTAGCACTGAAGTGAATAAAACTCAAACTACTTTTAATGGCACTCCTGAGTGTCCTGATAGTCCTGAGACTCCAAAAATGGATATTTTAGATCGGATTGCCAGGCTACAGAGAATCTTTGACATTTACAAATCGGCAAAAGTGGGCTTAATCTAGAGTCTAGAGGCAAATCCGAATAAGATGCATTCTCAGTTATCTTTATATATTTTGCTTGGTAGTACCATGTACAGGCTAAAGAAGTAGATGTAATTACAAAGTGAGAAGTTGTAGATAGACTGATTTGAACTTTGAAGGCGTTTTAGAGGTTGAATATTTTGCAATCTGATTTGCTAGACAGCATGATGCAAGTAAATCGAATGTAATTAATGTTATTAATCTTTTGCCAATGGGCCTTAATCTAATTATTATTAATTATGTTTTCCTTTGTTGTTTATACTTTTGATTGCTTTGTACGCATATTAATGAAGTCTGAAGTACAATGCAACTGTACTGTATCACTGTATCAGTTTCGTCCCCTTGAAATTTACGAGTGCAAGAAAGCATATTATCAATTTCCTCCAGGTAATTCTTTCAACAAAGCGATGCATTAGCTTTGCTTATACATTTCCTAGTATGATGTTTCCTTGGTACTCTGAATCACATAATGTATGCCATTGTTCACATCATGGTTTACCACTCTGGATTAAAGCCAAATGGTAAGCAGTGGTTTATATATTGCTGTTTTCTTGTAGAAAAGTTTATACTTCATACATGGTGGTTTAACACTTAAAATAGTAAAAAACAAGTGCATTACTTTGTTTGGAAAATTTGGTAACTAGTTGCCTCGTGTTTATTTATGACATGTAAGCTTCTTGAGGTTTAATTACATACATTAACTATGAATTGCAAAAGCAGAAAATCAAATTCTCTTAATTTTGATATCAGCGGCAGTACCTACCTCCTTCCTAGAGCGCGTCTCTACATGAAGTAGAGCCATAAAACAAGGCAAACAGCAGTCATACAGGTACAGACAGTGCTGAGTGCTGACAGCATATACTGGAGGAAGACGGCTAAAAATATTAAAGAAGATGCCCATGGAGGCAAATACAATAGAAGCACCAGCCATAAGATGGCTTAGCTCCTCCCTCCTGTCTTTGATTAGATTAGCAGTGGAGCTTGCAGAAGACGAAGTTTTATACCTGGTGGGTTTAGTCATCCACGAGGACATCATAAGCACAGAAATCAAGCCAGAAATTCCAGTCATGACATAATCAGACCAGGAAATGGGGGGACCACTGTGAATGGCAGCCTCACAGTTGACAGTAGTGTTGGCAACAAAAGCAGTAGTTATGATCATGGTGCCTATTTGAGTGTCTACTTTCTTCCTTGCATCTTACATCATCTTAATTATTTGCTGTAAACAGATTGGCCAAGTGGTCTTATTCATCTGTGTTGGTTCCTGAAAACTGTCTTCTTGAGATCCACCACACGGGGGCATGTCCACCAGACATGTATTGACAGGGGTGAGCAACTGTGGCACTGCTGGTACATAATTTGCTGAAACTCTTCTCAATTTTAGATTGTAGTAGTTGACTCTCCATAAGAGTCGCATGTTCACGAGTGATATGACATAGCTTGGTTTAGTCCTCTGTCATTTGCAAATCTGGAGACTCCATTTCACCAATATGCAAATAATTGAGCCAGTCTGCAATGGATAACTTAGCAAGCTGATAACTAGAGAAACCTCTTACGGAGGTCTAATTTTGCCTGAAAAATCATTATCCTCTCTGTTGAGCCACGATGATGCAAGAGGTTCATAACAATATAGCTGGGTATCATAATCAGTAGTATTACCAATAAAGGCCAGATCCATTTTAATCCCATTTTCAAACTCCGAGTGTGCCTCATCATGTACTGCTGCAACTGAAGAGCTATCTGAGGGTAAGGTTTTTTATTAGCATCATGAAGAAACTGTGACTCACTATTATCATAGTCAGCAAGCTGGTCCATCATCAACTTGTCACAGAGCAAGTAATGTATTCTACAGCCCTCCATTGAATTAATAAGTTAGTCCATAAGCAACACGAAACTGAGCTTTCAGCCTGGCAACTGACGAGAGCAATCTGTCAGCCAAAACTATTAAGTAATGCACCCTCTAGACATTTAACCATGGTTTGTCATTTCCCTCTCATTTGAAAAAAAAATCCTAATCTGTTAGTCAAATTGAATGAAAAACCTTTCGTACAAATTTAATGGAAGATCAACGCACCAGAGAAAGATGCAGCAGCAGTAGCAATAGTATCAGTAAAGAAGATGGCTATGAGAAGATCAATAAGGTGCTATTGATTTGCTACCTCTGGTTGATCAAACTCCTTCCCCGGCGTTTGGCAGACAATTTTCAGCACTTACCCTCGGTATATTTAGGGACCTTGGTTTTTTTAGCTATCGGTTTCTTCTCCTGTTTCCTGGGATTGCTCAGAGGAGACAGCTACAGGTTCAGACGTACACCTCTGTGCTACAGTAAATTTATGTAAGCTAAAATCACAGTAAATGGCGGTTTATTTTTACTTGGTATTGCATATGGTGTGTCTCTTGTTCAGTTGTTTTCTCAGCTAGCAATGAACTAATTATGTTATGGTGTTATCTGACCCTTTGCTGCTTTGCATATCAGTACTCAGATTGCTCTTCTTAATTGTTGTTATTATTCTACAATTTATGTAAACATCATGAATAAGTTTGAGCCTCAACTAAATTAATTACAAGTTAGCAGATTATGCTAATAAAGCCTTAAGCTCGAACATAACATTAAATGATTGAAGGATACATAATAAAACAATAAATTATACTTTGTATTTACATGAAGTCCTTAACAACCCCCTCAAGTTAGAGCATAGATGTCACAAATGTCTTAAGCTGCATAGGGAGAAAATCAAACCACTTTTTTCCATGGGCCTTTGTAACGATATTTTCCAACTGCGCATTTGTAGTAAAATGAGCGGTACTTATAATAGTTAAATAATACCATTCATTCCTCCAATATAGCATCATTGATGAAGTGACAATCCACCTTAATATGATTTGTCTTTTCATGAAAAAACGGGTTTTGAGCTAGTAGATACAAGCTATCACTATATTAGTCTAGTAATTATGTAGTTATAAATTAGTGTTTATGGTATATAATTAAATAAAGGAAAATGTTATACATAACCCTTAGGACTACATATAAAGATTAAATTTACACTAAAAAATCGTATAAATCTAGAAAATCATAAAAATATAAAAACTAATTACACTGATTTGCGCGTATTTTTGTTATAAATTCCTAATCTTATACAATTTTCAAGAGTGTATTTAATGCTTACATGTAGCCCTAAGGTCTACATATAGCATTACCCTTAAATAAATTGTGTTCAATATATATATATATATATATATATATATATATATATATATATTTTTTTTGAATTATGACATTATCAAATATTTCTAACACATTGAAGGAGAAAATGAATCATTATAGAGTTTTTATGCATTATTTTCAACAAAATACTGGTTTGGTCTAATATCGGTTATTATAGGGCTTTAAATCGGATCGGACCATAAAAAAATTATAGAAAAGTACTTATCATTAATTAATTAATGAGAATTTAAATACATATGGGCCATGGTACAAAAATAACTCAAAATATTATTCAAGGAGCTTGCCCCAATTTCTCAACAAGATGGCAAAATTGGTAAATAATAGCAAATTTACCAATATTTTATTATTTTTTTGTGGTTGACTCAAACCCTTTCTCTTCCTTCTTCAACCTTTCTCATCTTCTTCAACCTTTCCCATCATCAATGGATTACAAACTCCAACACCATAACAAACACCATGATCAACGCCACTAATACCATAACAAACCCCAGCCCCAACACGACCATGTTCGGCAGCTTCGCCGCCGAATTTAACGAAAAACCCTAAGAAATATATGTTAAAAAATATTAATCTAGAAAAACCTAGAATATTTTGTAAAATAAATATCTAAAGGGTAGTCTAGAAAAATCTAGGAAGTATGTAAATATTTCTATGTAAAAATATCTAAAGTGTGTAGAAGCTACCTAAGAAAAATGTAGGAGAAAATATCTTAGAAAAATCTAGACTAACCTAAGCTAGAAATCTTTAGAGAGTTGTAAGACATCTATTTGTCTCCCAATATTATCAAGCATAAATCCATCTCTAAACCAAAAACCCACTACTACTTTCGCACATAAAATTCCAACAATATATATAAAGTTATGGCATGGTTAACCCCAAATGATAGGTGTTTGTCGTGTTTGTAAGTTTTCCCTCCCTTGTTGAAGAATTCCTCGACCTTCAATCATCCATTGCTCAAGAATTCTTAACTCTCATGGTTGAGGAGAGAGAGCAGCAAGTGAGTATGTGGGTTATCAATTTTGCTGAAATGACACAACTAACCTTGTTAATTTACATAAAAATACGAAAATATCCCTTTGAGAAACATACGTAGTACATGTTTGTATTTTCTCATTACTCAAGTGAAATAAGCTCTTCTAAAAAAAATGTCTCTTTCCTCCATTGAAGCAGGCAAGCAGCAACTCTGAATTCTCCGTTGAAAGATGCAGCTTGTGAGCTTTCTCTCCACCATTAAAGCGTAGGTAAGATGTTTCTCTTAATCATTGAATATCAGTTCCACAATCTTGCGTTAATCGTTAATTTAATTCAATTTAGGGTTCTTCTAAGGTGGATTGATTATTGAACTATCGCTTTCAATTTAACTGAAATGCTAGAATTTTGCTATTCATATTCTTAAGTGAGAAGAATTTAATTCGATAATTGACTCAAATTTGGTTGCTATTTTGTTGCAAAATCCTTGAATGTTAGGACAAAACTATGAAAATAGAATTTTATTTTTTCGCCTGTTTAACATTCCATTACTGATAAGTTTTTTCATGGTATATTTGTTTGTAAATTTGGTGTAACAATTAAGCTAGTATTTGTATTGAGTTTCCTGGAATTGATTTAGCTACATTGAACCAAACACCTGCAAAAAGAATCATTGGGACTCGAATCTCGATTCCTAATTTAGGCTTGAAGTAAACAGACTATGGAATTTTGGGTTATCTAATGATTTGAAACCTTGCTTTCCTGTTCTTCTGATATATAAAGATTATAATGTGGTGTAGCTTGTTGTGTTGCTTTTATATCTTTTTCTTGCCTTTTATAATGTTAGTGATCAGCAGGGAAATTTTGTATTTTTAATGTAGATAGAGATCGTAATACACTCGTTAATGGATATTCTAACAAAGGATAGTCACCCTGGTGTTGCTAGTATAGTTGATCAAAGGAGAGACATATGTCATGGTGAAGGGGCTAGTGGAAATATGGTTGATATTGTCAATGTGGTACATGATCAGGATGGAGGAGCTGGTACATCTGCGACAAGCAGTCTTCTGCTTGAAGGAGACATTGATATTGGGCCTGATAGTGACCTTCAATTTGAGTCCCATGAAGCTGCGTACAAGTTCTACCAAGAATATGCCAAATCTATGGGATTCACGACCTCAATAAAGAACAGTCGACGTTCAAAGAAATCAAAAGATTTTATCGATGCAAAGTTTGCGTGCTCCAGATATGGGGTCACTCCAGAATCTGATGTTGGTAGTAGCCGGCGTTGTAGTGTTAAGAAGACTGATTGTAAGGCTAGCATGCATGTCAAGAGAAACAAGTATGGGAAATGGGTCATACATGAGTTCATTAAGGAGCATAATCACGAACTTTTACCAGCATTGGCATACTATTTTCGTATTCACAGAAATGTGAAATTGATCGAGAAGAATAATATTGATATATTACATGCTGTTAGTGAGCGAACAAAGAAGATGTTTGTTGATATGTCTAGACAGTCTGCTAGCTTTATGAATCATGGATCCCTAAGGGATGCACACAGTTCTCTACTTGATAAAGGTAATCGCTTGGTTCTAGATGAAGGAGATGCCCAATTCTTACTTGATTACTTTATGTGTGTCAAGAAAGAAAATCCTAAATTTTTTTATGCAATAGATTTGAATGAAGAACAATATCTTAGGAATTTTTTCTGGGTTGATGCTAAAAGTAGGAGTGACTATGCAAGTTTTAGTGATGTTGTCTCTATTGACACCTCATATATAAGGACAAATGACAAGCTACCACTTGTCCTCTTTGTGGGGGTGAACCATCACTTCCAGGCGATGTTGCTTGGCTGTGCCTTGATTGCAGAGGAATTGCCGTCAACATTTGTTTGGTTGCTGAAGACTTGGCTCAGGGCAATGGGAGGGAGTGCACCCCAGGTGATTATCACTGACCAACATCCCTCAATAAAGTCTGCCATCCAGGAAGTCTTACCTAATACACGTCATTGCTTTCATCTGTGTAATGTTCTGGAGAAATTCCCAGAAAAGCTTGCACATGTCGCCAAGAGACACGAAAATTTTACTGGAAAATTCAATGAGTGCGTATTCAAGTCATGGACGGATGAACAATTTGATTTAAGATGGTGGAAAATGGTTGGTAGGTTTGATCTTCAAGACGATGAGTGGATAAGATCACTATATGAAGATCGTAAGAAATGGGCTCCTCTTTATTTAAGTGATAGTTTCTTGGCTGGAATGTCCCCTCCTCATCGAACTGATAGCGTAAATTCATTTTTTGACAAATATATTCAAAGAAAACTTACTTTGAAAGAGTTTGTGAAACAATATGGTGCAATTCTGCAGAATAGGTATGAGGAAGAGGCTATAGCAGATTTTGACACATGGCACAAGCAACCTGCACTGAAGTCTCCTTCACCCTGGGAGAAACAAATGTCAACTATATATACACATGCAATATTCAAGAAATTTCAGGTTGAAGTTCTGGGTGTGGTCGGCTGTCATCCTAGGAAAGAAGGTGAAGATGGAACATCCATTACTTATCGAGTAGATGACTGTGAAAAGGATGAAACTTTTTTTGTAGCATGGGATGAAACAAAGTCTCAGGTTTCTTGTTTATGTCGTTCATTTGAGTACAGAGGTTTTTTGTGTAGACACGCAATGCTTGTTCTACAAATCTGTGGTATTTCTAGCATACCATCTCAGTACATATTGAGGAGGTGGACAAAAGATGCAAAAACCACGCAGTTGATGGTAGAAGGAATTGAGAGGTTGCAGACCAGGGCACAGCGTTATGTGGCCTTGTGTAAGCAAGCCATTGAACTGAGTGAAGAAGGATCTTTAACTCAAGAAAGCCACAACATTACCCTGCGAACACTGGTGGATACTCTGAAAAATTGTGTTAGTGTGAATAACATGAATAGAAGTGCTATTGAAGTTGGGGACACTTATCGTGATCATGATATTGTTGAAGCATACCAGGGAAATATTTCAACTAGAACTAGCAAAAAAAAGAATGCAGTGAAGAAGAGGAAGGTAATTTTTATGGTTAGGAGTAATTTTTGCGCTCACAAATGATGGTGCAATTTTGGTGTAAATTGTGTTACAGCTGGTCTTGTTGTGCAGGTAGCTTCAGAAACAGAAGTGATGCTGACTGATGCTGAGGACAACTTGCATCAAATGGTTTGTCCTTAAACTATTTTCCCAATTAGATAATGCACCATTTAGGCTGTATTTAGTTTTGTAAGTGTGCACTCTGGATTCTGATTTAAATTTACATTGTTGCTACTTGTAGGAAAATTTAACCTCTGATGGGATATCGCTCAATAATTACTATGGTTCCCAACAGAATGTGCCAGGAGTAGGACTGGTATGCCAAGTCACTGTTTGGAGTTTCTTGCAAAGTAGTCTGTTGTTTTGCGAATAATCTATCAAATTTACAGGTGCAGTTGAACTTAATGGAGCCACCACATGATAATTATTATGTTGATCAAGAAAGTATACCAGGGCTGGTATGTGATAATGAAATTTTGTATGATATTATGTACTACGTATATAAATTATGGTTCTTTTTCTTAATCTGTTCTTTATGACACAGGGACAATTAAACTCCATAGGACCAAATCATGAAGGATTTTTTGGGGCTCAACAAAGTGTACATGGGCTGGTATACTCTCGAATTTTTATCCTAATAGCCAATAATTCTATGTACTGTGATCCCCACTCCTGAAAATAATCCTCCAGCTTAATTTTCATACTTTGTAGGGACATTTGGATTTTCGATCATCATCTAGCTTCTCTTACAGCTTACAGGTAAGTTTTTGAAAATGCCGTGTTTGTAAAAATATAATTATATTTATACGATTCTTACCTTCGTAGTTTGATCCTATATCAGGATGACCATGATTTAAGATCTGCACAGCTGCGTGGAGATGCTTCTAGGCACACTTGAGAATGAGATTTCTTCATGTATTGGTCAAGTTGTAGATATCTTCGTGTATTGATCAAGTTGTAGATATCTTTAAAGGGTAGACTTGTTACTATATGAGGTATCTACTATGGACTTATTTTAAATATGCTGTTGTTCTTTCATCATTTAGAGTTTTAGATATGCGTTGTGTGCTCTTCCAAACTCAAGATTTTCTTTTCAATCTGGACAAATCTCCATATACCCAGCATAGGTCCCTGAAGAAATGGATTGATTCAGGATAGGGGAGACAGGATTAATAAATACAAGTTGCTCATATATACAAATGTAGAATTTTGTTAATTGTTGGATGATACCAAAGGAAGCTGGATCTAGTATATTGACAATGCAAGCTGAAGATCATTGACCTTATAGCAATAAGGGTGATAAGTTTGTGTGAATTAGGAAATTTTGTTCTATCTTGGCCTCTTAGGAATAAATAACATTAATTATTGCAATGTTTATGACAGGATATGGATTATGGACCCATCCTGCGTTACTCGTTTTCACTTAATTTGTTATATCTGTGTCATGAACCTTCAATAATGTTTTTAGAAACTAGAAAGCCTTGGGAAAACTATAGACTAGATCTATATTTGTCGAATATTGTGTCCTATTCCAACACTTATTGACTTATTTAAGTAGCATAGGAATGGATCCAGCTTTGGCACTATATTGAACCGCTTCTCAACATAATGAAGGTATGATTTTGTGAAGATGGATTTAAATACTACTAGTGGAAACTAAATAACATGGACTATTTTGTCCACAAGATTGGGCAACGCTGCATAATCCTGGGACAGACTTTCGGTCAACCAAAGGAGATTTTTTCAAAGTTAGCTTCTTTAGATTTTTTGGTTGCTGCTGTTCAGACTTGTTGATATCACTATATCAGAACTTCCCAGTTACTATAGAATTGTAGTATCATGATTTTATTTGGATTTCATTTCAGAGTGACTTGGCTGAAGAATTCCATGTGACTACCATGTTGAGGAGAAAATACAAATTTGCCTCAGGTACTTCCTCTTGTCTGTCCTTTTTTTTTCCCCCTCCACCTCTCTCTACAGTCCCTAACCCACCCTTCCATCTCCCTCCCTAAAGTAAATAATTTTTGCCCATTTTGTCACTTACAAATTACACCTATATTCATCTTGGTTTCCTGTATTTGTCCTAGTTTTATACTCGTTATCTCCACCAATTCACTTCCTCTAGTTTTGTTTGATTCTTTTTTAAAGCTTTGTGATAATCTTCTTGCAAAATATTAATAGTCTCACGGGATTCCTTATGATTTGTTTTCCTAATGCAAATTTATGATTGGATCATTGAAGTCAATTTTAACTTATATTGACTTGTGCATTAATTTTCATATATCATCTTGGCTTCTGTTAATTCCTATAAGTATCCACTTCAATATCTCATTTGCTTTTTATCTTGATTACTATTAATGACATGCTAGCTAGCTTTCTCTATGGAATAGATTGAAGTGGAAATATTGTAATCAAATATCATTTGCTTGCAAGGCCAATTGCTTGTTTATTTGTTTTTGCTTTATATGCAAGTACCTGTTTCCTATCTGTAAGGAATAATTTGCTGTGCTGGTTTCAGCTAAAAATCCTTAGATAAAATTACTTAAAAGTTAAAACTACTGAAGAAAATACTTGCATGAGTTTGAGGAAGCAAGTATAAAAAGTAAGGGTGTTATAATATATCTTTATTCAATCCCCTGACATAATGTTTAGGATCAAATTAGTTGAAATAAGCCTGTCACAAGCTGCACAAGGAAGGTAAACGTGGAAGGCATATGAAGCATGATTAAAAAAACTGAATAAGTGCATTTGTTTAGTATAATGTGGGATGAAGCCATAAAGGACAACTTGATATCATTCGCAGATGATTTTTTATGGCTGTTGGTTTTTAGACAACCTGATATTATTACCGGATTTGTAAGCTTTGTCACTTTGTAGGTTTTCTTTGCCGAATTTTAGATTGCTTAGGAGAACTAGCTTGCCGGGTCAAAATAGCCTTCCGTAAGTAAATGTATAAGTAAATGTATCCTAAGTCTTGGATTGACAAATGCAGTTGCCAAGTATCCGATCTCCCATACTTTGGCATTAGTTGATTATGGTGGTTTTATGAGGCAAAGGTAAAAGATTTGATGGCAATTTCGAGAGTACATATATAATTTATTTATTTATTTTATTTTATTTTATTTTTTTTTTTTTTTTTTTGAGGAAAAACAAGCTAGCATTAATCAAGAAACGAGATTATCCATCAATACATTAGGGGTTATTTCTTGTGGACAAAAGTTCTCCCATACTTGTTCTACCCCAAATGGGATTAGCTTAGCTAGGTGATGAGCAACAAAGTTGCCCTCCCTCTTAACATGAGACCAAATAATAGAATCAAAAGCAGTACATAAAGAGAAAATATCACCAATGATAGAATCTAAATCTGAAAGAAACACATTCCCCTTCTCAAGCTTCTTCGTGAGAGTTTGACAGTCTGTCTCCAAAATAACATCCCTGAGCCCATATCTTCTGCCAAGTCTAGCAACCATCGAAAGAGCTTTCGCTTCTGCCACTTCAGGAGCCCAATATGCGTGCATTCTTCTAGTAGCAGCAAACAGGACCTTTCCTTCATGATTTCTAGCCACCACACCCAAGCCAACAAGCCCTTCACTCGATACAGAAGCGTCAGCATTTGGCTTCACAATGCCAGCAGGGGGAGGATGCCAAACCTTAGAGCTGCTAGCATTTCTCACAGCAGGCCTGGCGTAGAAGAGTATATGTAGCGTACTGATATATGCCATGCTTTATTTTTCATCTGCAGACATGCATATTAACTTAAGACTGTATGCAATTGTGCAAAGTTAATGGCATTAAAGCGTAGTATAATTATTTCATGAAAAGTTTATCAGTTTTTTTTGGGCAAGCAGTTTTCTGAATGCAGTAAAATTTCACTTTTTAAAAAAATAAAATAAAAATAAAATCACAGCGTTGCAAGGTTGGATGATGGTGTTGCTTCTGATTCGTACCTACCTCTGCTTATTCTTCCTCCAGATAGCTGCTGTTTTTGACACAGTACTGCTCGTTCAATCAGGAGTCGTGTATTTCAGTTGTACCGGAAGTCCGGAAGAATATTGATGCTAATAAGCTATCTCGCTTTATTACAGTAATTAGAGAATGTAATGACAAGTATGCAAATAAAGCTCACATTGATGTATTATCTTTCATCTATATCTCAGTATTTATGATGTCCTTTTTCCGTCATGAATCAACCCTCGTTCATATTTTCCATTTCTGATGGATTGGAAACCGGGAATTCAATCATATTGCCTATATACTATATTGCTTGTTACACTTCTGGAGTTAAACACTTCATTCATTCATTATATCTCTTGTTAATCCTTAATTTTGTTGTCCACACTGTATTAATCTGTTAGGTTAATCTTGAATTGTCTTTCCCGCTTATTAATACTCGGACGCCTTTATAAATTTACTCATGCAGCTATAGGATACCTCAACATATAAACACAAAAGATTATTTTACCCAAAAACCAGGCATCATTACCTAAAATTTGATATATACCCGGATGAAACGTACACCCAACTAACCTAAAATTAGTTTTTGCTCGTCATTTAATGATAAAATGAAAAACAATTATCAAAATGAGAATAAATACTCATGGGTGTACGGCTCATCCGGGTGTATATAACACCCTCTCCATTATCTAATCATAGGTTGAACTTTATCATTACTCTGTTTATCAAGTGGTTGCTACAGAAGATACTCAATTACTCACCAAATGACTTACCCACTTCTATTAGAGATTAGTGTCTTACTGATAGTGAAGTCCAACTCAACACTTTCATGTATTCTCTCGAAAAAATATTGTGATTACTTAAATACGAGTATAAATATTTTAAGGGCATGTTTGGTTCATCAAGTTGAAATGGATTGGTATGAAATCTCATACTAGAGAGTTATGGATTCTAAAATTCATAGTAGTCCAAAGTTGTTTGGTTTTAGTGTTGGAATGAATTCTATCCTTCATTAATAATGGATTGTAAATAATACGAAGTACCCTGTTCTATGGATCAAAACAAAATAATTTAAGTGCACTAATATTGAATTAATATGTAGAGAATTTCAAATTATGTGATGATTTTTATCAGTTTTAAAGAATTTGGTAACTTAATTGACTAGGTTAGGTATTTTATTTATTATTTATATATTTTGTTGGTTAGCTATTATTGGCAAAAATAAGATAAAGTAGGAATCAAATGAGCATATTATGAGATGGGTCTCTTTCTTTCTCTCTCTTCATTGTTGGTTGGCATGTCTTTGAAGTTGAGCAATTTGGGCGGTTGATTTACAGCACTTGTTATCTATTACTCATCCACTGTGAAATCATCCCATTTTTATTCTTTATTCTGATTATTATGTGTTTCTGACTAGACAATATTTAATTGATTATTGGCCCAATTTCATCAAATATTTGCAGACATTTTGGTAGTTCTAATCTAGTTGGCTGCTACTTCTTTTTGACATTATTATTCTGATTTTTAAGCCTACTCTCATCATAATACACCAATTATTCACTCATCAATTTAAAGCTACCCAACTTTAACCATCAAATTTGAAATAAAGATGTAAGGTGCAATAATGTGTTTCCTCTTAGGTTCAAGCTAAGTGCAATCGAAACATAATCTAAATTGGAACAGAATTCTGCTATTCAATCGGTAAATTATCTATTTAACATTTTTAGGTGATAAATATTATCAGACATGTCTAGTCGAAGACCATGTTATAGGAATAAAAAAATTATAAAAAAAAAAAAGTGAATCAAACTATATTATTGTGTGAATAGATTACACCGAGTATTAATTGCAACATTTTCATAATGTATTATTTAATATCCCAAACTTTTAGAGTTTATGAATCTGAAATCATTGTGATAAATTTAGTTTTGAAAGGATTAAAAGAGGGTTCAAACTCCATCATTATTATCATTACCAATAGGTCTACAATCCTAAACTTTTTATCTTCAATGTGATTAAAGTGTGTCCTAGATTTATTCCTAGAGGTCTTAATCAAAGGGCTTCTTGAGAAATAAAATGATGTTTAGTAATTATCCCGTTACCTTAAAGCTCTCCTTGATTCAATATGTTGCTCATTTTCATATTGTTACATTATTATTTGTATGGATAGCTTTGTTGAACTTTATTTTTTTTTCTTTAGGATGCTAAAAATTAAAGCAAACAAGTATTGTATTGTCCTTGTCTTAAGTTATAATTTATAAATATAATTACAAACAATACGGAGTATGATTTTTGCATAATATAATAAAGTAAGACCAACTTATATATATATATATATATATATATATATATATATATATATATATATATATATATATATATATATATATATATATATATATATATATATATATATATATATATATATATATATATATATATATATATATATATATATATATATTGTTCTTAGGAACTTGAGAAAAGATGTATGTATTTAAGAAATTGTAAATTTAAGAATATCAAAGTCAAGTAAAGCATTAATAATATCAATTAACGCGTGCATGATTTGATCATGTATTGTTTATAACTTTATATGTTAATCTAAATGTCAAGTCGTACATTAACTTTTTTTTATTACCCCTTTTAAAATTATATTATAGGGGTGCTTAAAATTTGATAAATTCAAATGAACTTGAATGAATGTCACCAATGAGATGTTGCAGTGTATCTCATATTCCTAGTAGTTGACTTGCAATTGTTGCAAGGTTATTGGTTGGGATTTATAGGTCATAAGTTCATGATGTTTTTTTTTTTTTTTTTTTTTTTTTTTTTTTTTTTTTTTTTTTTAAAAAAAAAAACCAGTTCATGATGTATAATTAAAAGGAAATAGCCAGTAACAAAAAAAATTATGATAAATTAACATTTTTGATAAGGTTGGTCAAGTTTAATAACTTGATTAATTAGAAAATATATATGAAGGCTAATCTAGATTCTAGCATGCATGATCCATGGTTTTATCATGGCATGCGCATGTCCTAATAATTTTCTCTGAATTTAATTTGCTAAGTCAAATCTTAATGGGATACTTTTTCGTAAAGGATTTGAAAGGAATGCTAATAATTTGTTATGCTTCATTTGAACGATGACTTCCTCCACTTTGAGTTTTCTATTCTAAAACCTTTCCCAACTTGAATTTATGACTTAATTTGATTTACATCATTGATATATATCGTTCATTAAATCTTTCTTTTACTAACCAAAAAAAATCAATTGTCATGATTTGACTTTTGCACTAGATATATACTGTATATACAAACATTTTTAATTACAAAGTATATATTTTACTAATTTTATATATATGGTGGGATAAAGAAAGATTAAGGAGGGAGTGAATTCTCATTACTATAAATGGAATAAAATATGAGCGTGAAACTTTTTTTATGAAGTTTATTTATATGGAATAATCCTTATGGAGCAGTAGAAATACATGTGTGTACGGGCGAACATGCTTTAATAATAATTTGAGACATTATGCTGCTCGACATAAGAGAAAAAATAAATTAGAAACATCCTCCATACTATAAAGTTAATAATTTAATTTATTATGCAAACTAATTTAACTTTTGTAAAGAGATTATCATATCATCATGCGGGGGATTGTTTAATTATTGCTCCATTATACTTGGTATAAAGTAATTAATCATGTGGTACATGTAAGCAACTTGTGCAATTAACATGAAAGCCTAGATAAGAATAAATACTATCACAAACCATGATTGTTATAGATTATCATAATAATATATAGCAACAAAATATAAAACTAAGGATAGATAAGCACACATCTTGGTAAGAATAGAAGTAGTAATAGATACATTTGAGAAATTTCTTTGGTATGAGTTAGTTGGGTGGCTATTAATTCGATGAAACAGATTTTAATAATTTTGTACCTAAACTCAAACTAAAACCAAATTATTTTGATTATTCTTGGAGTACAAGATATGTCAGACAAAAGAGGAAATTTTGTGTCAATTTTACTACTTTGGGTCACCCACGTGCTATTTAAAGCCGCGTTATGGGTACTTTGCCGCAAGGGCCGATCTTGTCCTTGTGGGAAACGGTGGGCAAAGCTATCGATCAGTATTCGGGTCGTTTTCAAATTGTGTAAATTATATTGGAAATTTGGGTTGAAATTTTAATTTAGTAAGATTATTTAGTGGGTTTTTGGTACATAATTGGGTTGTTTTTACAGATTATTTATATTTTTAGGATGTTTTAAAGTAGGTTGGTCAAAATTAAGTTTATCAAGCTCAATTCTAAAATTTTAAATGTTTTAACTTTAGAATAAAAGGTGGCAATGTCAAAATTATTTTTATTAATCTATCTAAATTAATCTAGATAATTGGAAGTTGGAACATATTCCATGAACCATATAATTCAATATCAAACTTAAAGATATTATTTATCAAATCTTATCTAAATCCATGTGGATAGTATATCACCAATGATATATTTCTCTAAGTGTACCCAAATATCCTAACATATTCTTCTAGCACAGGGTTTTCAAGATTTCAAATCAATTTGGAATGATTCTATCTAGGTTCCTAGGTAGGTTAGTTTAGAGTCAAGTCATTTTTTATCTTATTCGTTTATAGTAATGGAAAATCATGATGAGATTTCTCACACTTAGCTACCCAATTTAGTAATGATAATGGTTCAATTACCGTCACATGCTCACCCCCAATTTTTACCGAGACGGATCTAACAAGATCAGAGTATATTTTTTTTTAAGTATAAATCATAAAATATACTCCCTCTATTCCTTTTTTTTTGCATTATTTGACTTTTCACAGTTTCCAAAATGCGTCTTCAACGTATATATAATATATTATCTCTTATAAGCTAACGAGAATTTATGGTCAAAGTTTTGAAAGTTTGACCCAAATATACACAATGGGGCAAAAAATAAGGGACGAAGGGAGTAGTTAAATAGGATAACGTGAATAGTATATACGGTAGAAAACTTGAAACATAATAAACAACAAAAATTAGTATATAACTAAAAGATACATTCTCTGTTATTTTTTATTTTTTATTTGACTTATTTCTTTTATCACGCTTGTCAATACAAAACTTTAACGATCAATAACTTTAATTCTCCAAAAGTAAAATTTATAAAAGTTATATATTATAATAGTATTTATTGAGACGAATTCAAAAAGATCTCACATGAATATGTTTTTCCTTACATATTATTCACAAAAGACGGTCAAATAAGGGATAGTGAATAGTGTAAAAGTCAAAGTGGATCAAGTAAAAAAGAATGGAGAAAGTATTGGTTTAGTTTAGTAACCTAGTTTTCATGGTTGTGAGTATTTATTTTGGTGAGAACATTAATAAAGCCTAAAAAAATTAAATAAACCATTTTCTAAAAAAAATAAAAAATCAATAAACCATTACAAAAAAAAAAAATAAAAAAAAAATTACGGAGTAAAAAATCCAAAAAATAAGGCGGTGAAAAAAAAGGGAAGGAAAACGAGTCATAAAATTAGGTAAAGGGTAAAAAAAAAAGAAAAAACAACTATAAATAAGACACGGCTAAAGGAAGGAAGGCGGGCGGTAGGGTGGTAGGGTCAGTGTCTCATAAATTTCGTGGCTTAAAAGCTCACTTGATCTCCAATGTTAGGGAAATTACAATTCCAACTTTGCTTTTTTATTTTTAGAGAGAGAAACTCCTTCATATTCTAGAGAGAGAAACAAATTGGTAGGAGAGAGAGAATCAAATATTATCGCTCTGGAGTCGACCCATTCCCTTCCGCGTCTTGGGAGGTACTTTTGCCGCTTGGCCTACAGGTTTTTTTTTTCCTTCTTGATTTTGTTTTTCTAGATCGATTTTTTGTTATTTTTTGATTTGAATTGGAGGTTTGATTTGTGTTGTTGATTTGATTTGTGTTTGAGGTTATTTGGATTTTTAATTGTTGTTTGATTATTTTTTTGATTTGGAGTTAGATCTGGAGCTAGGGTTTTGATTTTGGTGTAATCTGATTCGTTGAGTTTGGATTGTTGTGTTTATATAAGCTGGTTCAATGTATCAAGAGATGGAAATTGAATTAGGGGTTATGTGAATGATTTCAGGTTATTGGATTTGTGTGACTTTTGAGTTTTTCTAATTGATGAACTTTTCAATTAGTTTTTTTTTTTTGGGTTATTTGACGATGATTTTCGGATTGTTGATTATGTCATTGAATTAGGCGAATGATTTTGGGCTTTTAGATTGTGTGATTGAATCAGGCGAATGATTCTGGGATTTTTGACTGTGATTGAATTAGGTGAATGATTGTTGGCGTTTAGCTTATGTGATTGAATTAGGCGAATAGGTGAATGATTTTAGCTTATGTGATCGAATTAGGTGAATGATAACGGGCTTTTAGATTGGATGATTGTATTTTATCTGATACTTCTACGTCGTATAAGGAACTTTTCAGTTTAGCATGTATTTTGGAATCAGGCGAATGATTTGGGGCTTCGGATTTTGTGATTTGGGTTATGGCAATCTAGGAGATACACCATTGATTATATTTTAAAATATGAAATTAACCAATGAATAGGTATTGGCTAGCTTTGTTGTGAAGTTGAGTTATATTTTTTTGTTTCAACTAATTAATATTAGGGATAACTTTGTGCTCTGATTTTGATTGGTTCTGTTTGAAATCGCCATATAATTTGGACATTGGCCTGCTTGTTTTCTGTTGTATAGCCATTAAATGTGCTTTCAAGATTAGAATTGAAGGGAATACCTTCTGAATAGAATTATAATGACTGCTTTGTTTGGCTGTGGACAACTTCAAAATTTTTAATTTATTTTTTTAGAGTAAAGAAATTATGTTATTCCTCATGCTATGGTGCTATATATGTTGATATTTTCCTCTACAATGAATTGTTTATCAAGAATAACATTTTACCTATTCCATATTGCTGATCACATAACTGAAAGCATATTTTAGAAGACTGGGGCTTAATCATGAACATACCATTATTTATTTGTGTTGAAGGCACAATGCTCGTGGCATCGTCGTATTTTTAACCTTGGACACAATAGAGTTGGATGCTATCTATCTTATTTCTCTTGTATTAAAACTTGTCTTATTCTATTTGTTAAGCGTCACATACTTCAATTATATAAGCTTCATTAACTAATCTCAATCCCTCTTGCCTTCTTGATTTGCAGGTTCCAGAATATCATCTAAAAAGTTCAGTTTGTTTTACTAAGATATGGAGCATGTCCACTTCTTGTCAAATTGCTTCCATTTTCAGGTCCTTTCATTCCAGAAAGCTCTTGACTGGAGGTTCTCAATTCTCGGATTCCTTCTTGTTTCCTTTGTCAACAGCACCTAGTGCCCAAATTTTCCTAAATGATCAGTATAGGAGGCCTAATGCAATTGTCTACTAAGAAATTTGTTGGATCTTTAGTGCTCTCCTATGAGTAAGTTGTCTCCTCATGGTGTTGAGAGGTGGTTTCATGCCGCTTTTGCTCCTTCTGATCTTTTTTTACTTTCTTTTCGTTCCTCTTTGAATCTCTTATCAGCGGTTTGTGGAGTATATATCAAGTCGAGAGTTTCAGAAAGATATCTTGTGGGGTACTGCCAATATCTTAATCTTGACTTCAGTTTTGTGATACGTAAAATAATTTTGGTACTAAATATCAAACAGTCTCCTGCAGGGCTGATAATTGCAGGCTGAGGAATGCAGATTGCTTTTGTAGTCACCACTAGATAAGCCTATCAAATTAGACTCTTTGTGCCCGTAGTATTTTCTTTGTTTCTTCGGGTGTCTGTTAGGTGAGTAGGTGTCAATTTCCAGACAGCTGTGGAGTTCTGTGGTAGCCTTGGTGTTATGACGTGAAACAGGGATTTTCTTAAAGAACATGTTCTTGAGTCTCCAAGCATCTCCGCTATTTACCCTTTTGGACTGTCTCAGAGTCTCTGGTCATGAATTTACTGTGATTAGTCCCACAACTTAAGCCAATTACTGGAGTTCACATCTTGTGTCAGTGCTGTTGGGATAGAAAATCGAAGGGTGGATTCTGCTGGATCAATACAACCACACAATCTATTATCGTATAGTGTTATTTACAGACATCTATTGGGCATCGTTGTCTTATGTTTCTCGTGTTAGTGATTTGTCAATTTTGTTGAATTAAGAGACCTTCATCAGATACTCAGCTTTATCGTTTTCTGACTTAACAATGGAGAGGTGAGTTTATTCCTTCATTATTTTGGTCTCTCACTGTGTTTCTGTGATGAGTACTGCTAATTAAGGTGAGTTCTTGCTTGTTCAGGTACAAGCTAATTAAGGAAGTTGGTGATGGAACTTTTGGGTGTGTTTGGCGTGCTATAAATAAACAGAGTGGAGAAGTTGTAAGTTACATTCCTTTGCTATCAATTGGGATATTGTTTTTTGATTAGCAATTTGATATCATGAGATATGTTCACAGGTTGCTATAAAGAAAATGAAGAAAAAATATTATTCCTGGGATGAATGCATTAATCTAAGAGAAGTGAAGGTAACAATATTTTAATTACATCATGCTAATTAATTTGTTGTTTTCCATTTCTCTGTTTTTTTGAGTTTTTTATTTGGAAATGTTGCAGTCACTAAGGAAGATGAGCCATCCAAATATTGTGAAGCTGAAAGAAGTTATTAGAGAGCATGATATCTTGCATTTTGTGTTTGAATATATGGTAACTTTTCTTGTGCGTGGTCCTGGTTTTTTTGTTCCACTGTACAATCGAACTGATTTCTGATACCAGTCTGTGTAACATTTTGTTTACCAGGAGTGCAATTTGTACCAACTTATGAAGGATAGAGGAAGGCCCTTTTCTGAAAATGAACTCAGAAATTGGTGTTTTCAAGTATTTCAAGCCCTTGCCTACATGCACCAGCGTGGATATTTTCATCGTGATCTTAAACCAGGTATGTGCTGCCTGAATGAAACTAGTCGTGGTCAGAAATGACATGATTTTAGGCATTTTTGGCTTTGAATTTTTCATTCTCTACATTTGTTTAATTGCTCGTTGTTAAACTTAAAAATAAACTGGCATCAATCTAACTCTGAACTTTGACCATTCATTTTCAGAAATTATATTGGTTGATGTAGTTTCCCTTCTAATTTTTACACCTCAGATTTTCTCAATTGGGTATTACATTGATTTGTAGGCCTACTGTGTTGTCCAGTATCACTAGGATTGGTTTGTATTTATAGATAGCCTTACTTTTAGGCTAAGTTTGTTGTATTTGTAAACTTTGCGACGTGCTAGTTGCAGTGAGCTAAGTATTCTTTAATGTTGACAAATTTCCTTACTTTGTTTAGTAGCTAAGTGTTTTATTCTTGTTTCACTACAGAGAATCTGCTGGTATCAAAAGATGTTATCAAAATAGCTGATTTTGGTCTTGCACGAGAAGTAAGTTCTGGGCCACCTTATACAGAATATGTTTCCACACGCTGGTAAGCATTCTTTATTCTGTTTTTGTTTTTAGTGTTCCATCTCTTCTTTATTTGCCTTTTTTTCCGGGTTGTATGTATCTGAAAAACTTGTGATGTGGCAGGTATAGGGCTCCTGAAGTTCTGCTGCAGTCTCCCACTTACACTTCTGCTGTGGGTAAGTGATATAGCTAAAGTCCCCTTAATACATAACAAAAAAAAAGGACATAAAAAGTGATTTAGCCAAGTCTCTGTACAGCTGGACCTTTGTCATTAATTATGATATTCTGAATTTTTTTTGTATTTTTGGTCTTTTAGATATGTGGGCAATGGGTGCGATAATGGCAGAACTGTTTACTCTTCGTCCACTTTTTCCTGGGTTAAGGTATGGGCATCAATTCTAATTATTAAGAGCACTGAGCACATATTAATACATGAATTCTGGTTGCCTTGTCATCCCTTTGTATTTGTACTTTATTGTCATTGGTGTTACTGCAGTGAAGCAGATGAAATCTATAAAATATGCAGTGTCATCGGAACTCCAACAGAGAACTCTTGGGCTCATGGGCTCATGCTTTCTAGATCAATGAATTACCAGTTTCCACAGGTGAGTCAGAAGCCCATTGACTGTGTACATTCCTTTTTTCATTTTCTTCTGTCTCTAGATTTCTAGGGTGATTGGTGAGAGGGATATCTTTCTGTTCCAGTCACCCTATCTTAGGTCTTAGCATCCAATGATTCAACTAGGCATTTTGTTAATTTAACTCCTGGATGAACACCAATGAGACCCTCCTACAAGTTTATATGAAGCAGGTCCTAATATTTAGGAGTTCTAGGACTATTTGTACTTTTCTGTTGTTTATAGAATACTATCTTGCTTGGTAGCATAATATTTCTAGAGGCTTACGTCCGTGCATAATATTTGACTGCAAGTTCCGTGTTTTCTTTAAGTGAACCAACAATGCTCAAGTTTGTTTGTTTGTTTTTATTTATTTATTTTTTTTTCCGCTAAATTTCCTTAGTTTCTTATTTCTGTAGTATTTTTTTTTTTTTTTTAATTTTTTTTTATCAACATCTAGTCTGTAATTGTCCTTGTCTATCTTTGTTGGTGAAGTTGATATTTTTCAGCAGCCGACTCATGCATTCCAATAAAATGTTTGATGAGTTGTCTTCTAAAACGTTAGCTTCTAATACTTAGTATTGTAAATAATATCTTACATAATGTGGTGCAGTGTTGTAAAATATTGTACAACCTATTTTGGTCATGATTTTTTAGTTCTTGCAGTACTTGATTTTGGGTTTTCACTTTGCACTGCCCTCGTATTTGTCCTATGTTTTGTTTTTGTTGCACTTTCATTTTTTCTGTGTTCATTTTTTTGCGGATGGTTCCTTATGACGATTCATGTTAGCCAGCCCCAAATCATTGACGCTAAAGTTTTGTTGTTTTAGTACTCAATTTCTGCACCTTGATCTTATGTTGATTATATTTTTCAGCTTCCTGGCGTGCATCTTTCAAGTCTCATACCTTCAGCAAGTGATGATGCAATCAGCCTTATTAGGGTAAAGTGAATGTTTTAATTTTTTAATCCAGCTCAAGGCTTGCTTGTGATATTTATCTCAGTAACTGATTATATATTGCATTTTTCAGTCACTTTGTTCCTGGGACCCCTTTCAGAGGCCAACAGCAGCAGAGGTCCTTCAGCATCCCTTCTTTAAGGTATTATTTGTTTACATGTTTTCTGCACCAGTCTTCTAGAAATGAGAATTTGTACATTTTATTTGGTTTTGATTAGCATGGGATGATGTAGATGGAGTTACAATTGAATTTTTTTTTTTATAATATTTTTTTACAGAATTGTTTCTATGTCCCGCCATCTCTACGGCCTAAAGCAACTGTCAACAGAACACCCCCATCATTGGGAACCAGGGGATATTTTGATCAGAAATCTGCGAGGAAGAGTTCTGGTCCTGGAACTCATCCCGTCTCTAAGACCACAAATCTGAAACCTCATGTTGCCTTTGGTGCGGGTGTACAACGCAAACTGGAAATGGATGGCAAGGATTTAAACAAGAATGACAAATCTGTTAAGAGCTCTGTTAAACAGCCAAAATATCGGCCACCAGCTAGGAACAGCCCATGTAGGTCACTTCTCATGTTGAATTAATTCTATTGTTATTAGGTTCTGTCAATACATAAAATCTTTGCTTGCCTTCTCTTTTGCTTGTTCTCCCTTGTAAAACTTGCTTGCTATGGAAACTAATATCAAAGCTATTGGTATGTAGCCTCCATATACCCAGGTAGGACCACTCGTGGAGTAAGTGATACAGCAGAGAAGCTGTCCAACATGTCTCTGGGTTCTGGCAGGCAAACAATCAGGCAATCAGTACCACCACCTATGAAGGCTGGAGGATGGCATGGCCAATCTAACATGTTTATGGGACGATCTCAGGAGATCCAACCCAGCAGAACTTTTACGAGAAAAGTTGCAGGATGATCTGTTCTTATCACTGAGGTTTAAAATAAGGCAACAAGCAACATACAGCTAAAGTTCAGGCAGTTGCAGTTGGAAATTCTATAGTGTTTTAAATTTGTTTTTTTTTTTTTTTTTAACTACTGGTGTGGTGTTCGCTAAATGTTTTCCTGGAGGAGTGACAATGTCAGACTATCTAGTTTTTATTACCTGTGTTTACCTGTTGTGTATTTCAACTTAAATAATGATAACTTTTAAACTTTATATGGATAATATTGCTTTGATTATATACTTTCAAGAATTTGCATTGGCCTTATATGCCCCTTCCTGGCTGTTTCTTTTGTTTATTACAGCTTCCTCTTAGGAATTCTTCGAACTTAATGAGTCATATAGTTAAATGAAATCACCAAGATTCACTTAATCTACTCTGTTGGTAGTAAGAATTTATTTACACCACTGATGATCCAGGTCCAGAGCCAGTTTGTGATAAAATTGGCTAAATTAACATTAATCTAGTCTGATGTATGCCTTCAGCTGAACAATTTATAAACCCTGTTTGTATCTTTTGCAAGACATGAAAGTAACAAAGACTGAACTTTTTCACAAATTATCAGATTCAGCTCAATCAGCTTTTTGAAAAAGCTCTTGTACCAAATGAGGTCAAAATAAGGTCACTTCCATGGTATTAATGGTCAGTATGTTGACCTTACATCAATTTTCAATTTGTAAATTTAGTGATGCTGGTTGGCTTTAGCCTATTAATAATATAATTGTCTGTTTTATGATAATGATAAATAAATAAATAAGGTCATATGCTAAGGCTATGTTCAAGTGTTCAAATGGTTTATTTATTTAAGCAGATATTTGGTTAATTCAGAATTGATCAGGTCATATTAAATCATATTTTATCTTTTAGTTTGTGTTTACTTATGGTTGCATATCTTTGATAGCCAAACTTTAGTTGAATTTGAATTAAAACATAGCCCAAGTCACATCACTTGCACATTCCATCTTTATTCATCACATGAGTTAGTTGTTGTTTACATAGTACAAGAATCAATTGTCTTAATTCCAACTTCCAAGCCACTTCTAAGGTATTGCGATCAGCTGTTTGGCCAGTTTCAGTGTCATGAGCTGAAGTGAAAATACATGTATACAACCCGTGTTATATTCTTGAAGCTAAATAATGGCCAATAGGTCAAGCAATTGATCCATCACGATCACCATCCATGACGAGATGCTTAGAATGCCAGTGGAACCAAAGTATGTCCTATATATTTTTAGGTGTATAGGTTCCAAGGCCATCCATTTTCAACAGATCAGTAGAGTGAGCCAGGTTGCAGTATATGTCCAAGGATGTCCATTTTCAGCAGATCAGAGCAAGCGACTCAGACAGAACAAAGACTTAACCACAAAGCATTAGTGAAAGTTAAGTAGAAGTTGATCATCTTTTTCTTCTAACCAATTGGCCGATTAGCCATGGGATAAAAGCACCCACCAAAATTAGAGAAGAAATAATTTGCTTTAGCACCAAGCTCGTGTAGCATTTGACAAATTTTCACGCCAAGCTACGTATTAATTGGTGCTCACAACCAAAAAAACAACACATAAATACAACAAATGAAATGTCGAGTAAAAGAGAGCAAAGCGATCAGAGAACTTTGAAGGCATAATGTTCAGATGAATGAATTCCACATAAAAGAATTTCAGCTCAACTGATTTCATCATTTCGCTTGCTCTCTTTTACTCACTGAGAGTCCAATTTCAATAAACGAACACGATTGTTTTAAAGATTGTAATGGCCTTTGGAGGCAGGCTGGTTAAGATCATAGTAAGTAGGTTAGTTGAAACAACAACCATTACCAAAGCACAAGCCTGTACTATGATGCCATTCATTCGTGTTCGGGCAAGCGTTGCAGGGCACCCTGTAGAAAACCTACAGGTATTTCAGAGTCAAGCAATTACACTCTCCCCAGTTAGCACGCAGCCCTTTATATAACCAAATCTCTTGTGAATTTTAAGTTCATCCTAAGACAATATTGAAGTAATTAACGAAATCCCTCAGAATAACATTGTTCATCATGAATGTATCAGTCCACTACTTTTAATTTGGACATAAGTCATTCTTCATTGGGATGTAATCTATACTTCAATGAAAGAAAATAATGACACACCTAATCACAAACTCCAATGGCCGTAATTTGAACTAGTAACGTAGCAACTAAAGTCACAAAGGTGGTACATTTCTAGCCTAAGATCACCTTAACAACAACAAAAGCCTCTGATTATCAAACACAATAAATTACAAGATCTAATGAAAAAGATTCAAACTTTGAATCATTTAGAAAAATCCATCCTTGAGTATCACATAACTGATGAAAACTGACAACAATTGAATTATAATCCAGATTAATTGGTCACTAATTGTTCAAATAATAAGTAAATTGAGCATCAAGATGTTAATTTGGGCAAAAACAAAAAAAAAACAAAAAAAAAAAAAAAATCCCTTTACTTACTAGAGAGAAAACTTTAAAATCGCCGTGTAAATTAGCATAAAATGGGACAAAATCAATTGATAATCAACAGAAAACAATAGTTAAAACAACATAATATTTGAGCAATATGAATTTATGATGAAGAAACACAAACAGGTTAGAATACAAGAACATCTCACCCAACAAAAACGATTGATTGATATAGCTGATTATAGCATGGAAGAAGCTTCAAGAGCAAGAGGGAATGGTAGATAAGAAATTGTTAGTTTGGTTTATATAATACCGGCGCCTAGAAATAATGATGGATGAGTGATTAACCTAACCATTCCAATTGGTCAAGCCCATATTTGAGCCCAAACCATAATGGATCAAGTAGTGCTTCTATTTTTGGGTAATTTTTACCCTTTTGAAACTGATTGGAAATAGTTGGGATTTTTTGGGATTACTCAAGTAGACGCAACTCAATTTTTTGGGTCGATTAATTTTTGTTCTAGTTGTATAACTTGTATTGACATTAAGTTGATTTTCATTGTACCTTTGATTTTTAATTGACTTTTGTGGGTGTACTTCCAAGGGTATTGAGGGAAAAAAAAAAAAAAAAAAAACCTTATTCAATACTAGGTTTATATAGTGTTTTAGTTGAATTTTTAGATTTAGTTATAGTTTGCAACGATTGACTTAGTTTATCAATCATGAGCAAAAAAGACCTCGTTATCAAGAATAATTTGCGCTATGTCACATTGTCACTAGTATGACTTAAGCACCTCATACTTTGTCATTTACAGTTGATAGTACATCAAAACTTTTTTTCATCTAGGTTTGTCATAAATTACTTAAAATTGCATTTATTCACTCATTTCACAAATATTTATTATTATTATTATTATTATTATTATTTTAATAAACACATATATTAACATCATGTTTGTTTGTGGGGATTACTGATGAGATAAGGATTTAAAATCCCTCATGTCCCATTATCCTTTGTTTGTTTGAAAGGATAGGAGTTATCCCACATAAAAGGGATGCAATTAAAATAGGGGCTTATCCCTCTATTTCTATAACAAGGGGTGCAGGTAATCAGGCATAAGATCGAGGGATAAAAATTGCAAGATAAAAAAGAAAAATTTACCCTTAATGAAAGGGAAGGAAGAGGCGAGAGGAGAAAGGTTAATAAGGATAATTAAGTAATTTTACTACTTATCCCAATTTAATTCCCAATTCATACCAAACAAGGGATAATCATTTTTATCCCTATCCCACCTACTAATTGTCTATTCTTGTCCTACCTTCTTATACTCATTATCACTATCCCTCTTGTCAAATGGTCCCGTAATTTTATATACATAAAACTTGATTAACCTTAATTTTACTAAAAGAACTTATCTTAACTTATTTTACATAAAATAAACAAAAAATATGAGCTAACATGACCTTAATAATGGTCCAAATTCTCCCATCTACCAAAAGGGCTAAAGTCACTGAAAATCTTGAGAAGAGGTCAACAAAAGAAAAGTGCACACAAAGTGAAACAAGAAACCTCTTATAAACAAAGTGGTTGAAGTCCATCAAAGGCTCAAAGCAATACCAGAAGCAGGATTCAAACCAAAAAATCCCTCCGGATTTTTTTGGTCTTCCAAAAATCAATAACACCGATAAAAATGGAGAAAGAATCCATTTTTGGTCATAATTTCAAACTTTCTGGTACCACTTTTACTCTCTTTTTATTGCTACTGGTGTTGACTCCCAGTGCCATTGCCTGGACTGGTGAAATTAAAGGCAGAGTTGTTTGTGATGTTTGTGGGGATTCTTCAATTGGCCCTGAAGATCATGTTCTTCAAGGTATCACCTTTTTCCTATTATTCTGTGTTATGGATTACTTTATAATTTCTGATTATGTATATAATAATGTTTTTTTGCTTATTTTTGGGGGTTTTGATGGGTATGTTGTATAATCGAGTTTTGTGGATTATATGAATTGGGTTTTTGGATTATTAAAAGTATGTACTGATTTTCGATGGAATTTGTTGTTGCCGACACTTTGATTGTTCTGTTTTAGGTACTGCCGACAGTGTGAAAATGGGGTTTCTTCTGATGGCATTTTTACTATTAATTGACTAGTAATTCGTAATTAAGAGTAATTCATTGATTTCTTGGTCAAATTACAGTATATGGTTTTTGCTTATTACTATACTCATTGAAATATGATGATAGTGTTGATTGAGGATAGTTTTGATGTGGCAAAGTGTCAAAATGATCAATTGATCGGAAAGTGATCAATTAGCTGATACATGTAGGATGTATTTCATGAATCCCTTCCGGCATTGCAGACTTGCTTAATCCAATTTTTTTTTATGGGAATGGATTCTAAATTCCATTTCGCGCGCTTCAATTTTTTGTTTGTAATGCTCAATGTGTGGGGCTTTCATGTTATTGTTTAGGGTAAGGTTGCATAATCTGAACTTCGACAAAATCCATACTGAATATTGTTCTTGTAGTGATGTGGGACTACTTAGTTATTCAAGGACATTCAACCATGTCTGTAAACTTGTATCAAAAGATCATTGTCTTTTCTATATGATTTCCATTGGACTTGAGATTGATTTGTAAAGATTTCATCTCATGAAATAGACTGGTTTTCTGATAGTAAATATTATACGAACTGTAAGAATTAAACAAGATGAAAGCTTGATATATTGCTTGATAATCTTGAAAGCTTACAAAAGGTAGCTCGGCTACTACTCTCAACTAGTAGCTTTAGGCTATAATTCTCTCTCCAAAGTTCTCTCACAATTTCCATATAATCCTTGCCATTCT